ACAAGACGATCATCAAGATCCTGACCAAGTTGACTTCCACTAGCAAGCGCGACTGGAATGAAAAGCTAGGCGAGAGCCTGTGGGCATATCGCACGACGGTTCGTACACCGACTGGCACCACGCCTTACTCGTTGGTATACGGCTGTGAAGCTGTATTGCCATTAGAGATTCAGATTCCATCCCTTCGCGTCGCCCTAGCGACAGGGATGACGACTGAGGAAAATCACCAACTTCGACTCGCAGAGCTCGAAGCATTGGACGACAAGCGACTGGAAGCTCAGCAGCACATTGAGTTTTACCAAGCTCGGATGGCCAAGAGTTTCGACAAGAAAGTCAAGCGCCGAGCCTTCAAAGAAGGAGAGCTCGTGCTATCCGTCCGTAGACCAATGATCCTCACTTCCAAGAAGAAGGGGAAATTCCAGTCCAAATGGGAAGGACCATTCGTGGTAGAGACAGTCTACTCAAACGGCGCCTATCGCCTCGTCAAACCGAACGGCGATAAAATCATGATGCCCATCAACGGCAAGTATCTGAAGAAGTACTACCCATAGTGCTCCTTCACAAACTCCCAAGAGTGCATGAGTCTAAACTGGCCCTCAAAACCTCCGACTAGTACACGAGGCTAAACTGTTCCTACTTTGCCCGCTCTGGCGAAAGCCTCTTGTGGGATTCAATTCGCCTATCTCCTCCAATGAGATGGCGGATCCACTAAAGTCGTTCATATCACGACATATACATTCAATTCGCCTATCTCCTCTAATGAGAAGGCGGATCCACTAGAGTCGTTCATATCACGACATATACATTCAATTCGCCTATCTTCTCTAATGGGATGGCGGATCCATTAAAGTCGTTCCAATCACGACATTCTCTGTCACGTTAACATTAAACCTCTGACAAAATCAACTTACCAATCCTCTTCTAAAGGATGGTGGGTCCTCAAAGTCGTTCCAATCACGACATTCTCTGTCACGTTAACATTAAACCTCTGACAAAATCAACTTACCAATCCTCTTCCAAAGGATGGTGGGTCCTCCAAGTCGTTCCAATCACGACATTCCCTGTCACGTTAACATTAAACCTCTGACAAAATCCGCTTACCACTC